TTAACAAATTCTTTGAATTGTTATACTATAGTCTTTAAAGCTATTTATTATACTATTTTTGTTAATTTTTTTTGTTTGGTCCATCAATTAAAGGTTGTGGGTGTTGAAGAATATTGGTAGTTAACTATAGATTGTTTTGTAATTGTTGAAGCCTTATATGTGTACTAGTGCATATAAGATTTGGGTCATTAATTCTGGATAGAAAGTTAGAAATATGGTGTTGTAATTAAATGTCCCAAATGTTTTTAATTCCGTAGATATTGTGATTAAGTGTAATACTGTTAGGTGTTGTATGGGGGATAGTTAACATATTGAGGACTATCCCAGACCCTTTTTTCAAAAGGCCTTTTAACATCTTATCCTCAAGTTTTAGACAGGCTAGTCTTAGTTAATGTTTGTGTTTGTATTTGTATACATATTGTATATTTGTGAAGCTAATATATAGTCCTACTCTATATGGCTAGGATAACCTTTATATAGATTTATCGTGGGTTTGCACTGACTATTCTACAACATTCAGGGATATGTTTATATATACCAGCTTGCATTTCTCATATTCCTAATCATAACTCTCTGCAGTACAGGTTTTTGAATATAGATACTATATTCGAGACTTTGCGAGTAACTTTCCTAATTGGGATTAGTCTTGTAGGATCTTTACACAACAAGCACCAATTTGTTTTCTAAATCGAGTTGGTATAACCACAATTACAGTCAGAGACTGGTACCAATTAAGTTCGTATATTCTTCTTTTAGAAGGATATTCAAGATATAGTTTTCAAATATTATCACCGGTAGGAATTAAACTCTAGACCTTGATACTCGGAGTACGACAACTTAATCACTTTACTAAGTCACCACACCCTTGTAGGTCTTTCTTCTTTTTATCTGACTTGAGTTTTTTTTAGTTTTTTTGTTTTTAGATCTTGATTAGTCTATTCAGGTCTTCTTTTTTTTCTGTCCTATGTTTAAGTATCTTTTTTTTTTATTCTTTTCTTTCTTTTCTTTTTCTTTTGTTCTAAAGTCTGGTTTTCTTTCTAGAAACTTCTTTTGTATTTCAATAAAGACTTTTCAATTTCTGAACAATTCTACTAAATCTTTTCTACTATTTCTAATATCATATTTTTTTTTCTTTTTCAATTTTTAACTTTCTTCACTCTTCCTGCTAATATGTCTTAAATCAAATTTGTATCAATATATTACTGAAACCTCAACCAATATATCTACTTTACAAATAAATCTTTTTTCTTTTTTTTCAATTTCTGTTATTGATCTATAAGTCTTCTTTGCTTGCTTGATATATTATTTCTATTATTCATTCTCTTGGTATTGTTAAAGAGATTTTTAGTCTTGTTTTTTCTCAAATTTGCTTAGAGTTTTTGCTTCTATAAGGCTTTCAATATTTTATTCTATAATTCTTTTTCTCTTTGACTTTTTGGTTTTTTTTTTCTTCTTATACTAGTATAGGTAATAAGATAACAAACCAGATACAAATCAGACATCTAATTTTAAACTGATTATTAACTGATTATTAACTAATTACTGTCTGATTTATATTGATTGTTATATTACAATTTGGTACAACAATAAATATAAATTAGGCAATAATCAGTTAGTAATCAGTTTAAAATCAAGTACCAAATTTATATCTGATTTGCTATCTTTTTATCTATATAGTTTGCTGTAGCATCTTTGACAGACTCTTTAAATTGTTGTACTAATATTTTTAGAATTATTTTGTTATACTGTCTTTGTTGAACTTTTCTTTGTTCTTGAAGTCTCTTGTTTCAACCTAGTTTTAGCTTTGACTTTATTTTAATAGCTTGTTGTTTTTTTGCTAAATTTGCATCTTCTTTTTTTTTTAGTTTTTTTTTTTATCTTATACTAGTTTATTGCAGTAGTTTTAACAAATTCTTTGAATTGTTATACTATAGTCTTTAAAGCTATTTATTATACTATTTTTGTTAATTTTTTTTGTTTTTGGAGTCTCTTGCTCTAACTTGATTCTAATTATAACTTTATTTTAGTAGCTTGTTTTTTCTTATTCTCTAATATCTATCTTATCCTATTGGCTATATCTAAACTATATACGATACATACAAGCTAAAGACAGCAAAAAGGTTGAATTGCTACTACTTTTTTTCTAAATGATTTTTTTATCTAAAACTCATCGTTATTTAATAGAAAAGACATAGAGAAATATAATAACGATTAGTTTTTCTTCATATTCGAAACATATATAAAGTTATAAGCAATGAAAGTTATTAATTGTTACTAGTTAAAGGTGCGAAATTGAAACATCACGTAATCGAAAATCTGTGACCTGATTGGTCAAATAATAAAAGTGATCATATGCCCGATTTGTAAAAATGTCATATTGCATATAAAAGAAGCAGATTCGCAATACTTTATTCTTGAATCATCGTAATAATAGAGTGAAGGTAACGTGAATCAATAGTTAGCTAAAAAGGTAGATAATATATAAAAAAGGCTTCTTACCAAATATGTTACTTAATAACACTATATTTCTAAGTATATCACACAACTTTATGCCAATTTAAATACTATGAACAGTAAGTTTCTCAGGTTTGAACAAACAAACCTGAATTTTTGAGTGGACGGATATGAGGAATCATATACTGATTTTAATTAATCATTGGAAATAAGTCCAAATGATATTATAATATTAAATAATCGTGGATTAACATATCAATTCATAAACAAATATGAATAATCTCTTAGACTTAAATAAATTATTAGAAGTACAAAAGCGCTAAAGTGTTATGTATTTAAAAAAAAAAAAACCAGATCATATACCCACGTCTAAAAAAAAAGAAAAGTATTCAAAGCATCAGAGACCCGAAAGAAAAAAAGACAATGTTTAAGAAATGAAGTATCCAATGAAGATAGTTATCCAGATGATAACTTTGAATGTGAGTTTTTGGATTTTGGGCCTAATGCGACAAAAGTAATCGTCCAAGTGATGATTTTGATTGCGAATTTTATGTCAATGAGGATGAAAGCTATACAACAAGTAAAGATCATAGAAATGCCTTGCTTAAGCTCATGGAGATAAGTAAAGTTTGGTTAAACAATAAGCAAAGACCCTTAGTATATATGGGCAATTCAAGGACAACAAGATGGCGACGTGAGGTTTTTTTTAAAAAGGCTGCATTGCAAATGCCAACTCTTGAGACTTTTTTTGGAGTAACCCGAGAAAAAATATCTGTTAATAAAGCTTCTATTATTGAGTCATTAGAGGAATGTGAATTCGAAGATATTGATGAAATTGATGAGAATGAGGAACAAGAAAAGGATTCTTTAAAAAATCGCAATTGTAGACCTTCAAAAAGATATTCAATAACAAAACTCACCTGTTCTCAAACTACGCCTTCAGGCTATGTTTTAATATCTTAATCTACTTGATAGAAAATAGTTAAAAATGGATACAGCAAGGGTAGTAAGTGAGGCTCTTAGAAAAGGGTCATATCATGCTAGAAATATCTAAACGTGGACAAACAACTACGTTAAGTTTCGAAAGTTTCCGGTAACTATAATACATATAGTAAATATTAAAAGCTGAAACATTTTGCTAAAGCAAAATATTTCAGACTTGAAAAGCAATTACCTGAACATTAACATAGTTCTAAATACATTAAACTATAGATATCAAGATGTGGCCTTCAAGTTAAAACAATTATATTTCTTTGAGATGAAGATATCATTAGTCAAATAAAATCTTTTATCCAGTTTAACAAGTTTGAAGTATCTCCAAAGATTTTGGCAGAATTTATAAATAAAAATATTCTTTCTGGTTTGTTAAATTTTTTTTTTTTTTTTTTTTTTTTTTTTTTTTTAGTTATTAAGGCCGATGTTACGGAGCTTACTGCCTTTATTTGTGTTTTT